TGGATGCCCAAATCATCAGAGAGTTTGTGCATCTCTCACATCCGGCCAGATAGTCACCAGAGTTCCTATTTAGCTGGTATTTAAAAATTGCAGTTGTCTAGACTTGTTTCAAGGGTCACTGCCAGTTCAATGCCCTGTTTCATCTCCTGTGTCCTTGGACTTAGCACCGAATTTGGGGGATGAGCTCAAGTCATGCAGAATTCCCAGTCGCAAGGGAAGATGACATCTCGTATGCTTTTCCTACAAAGGCATAGTTTTAAATAGCCAGCACTCACAAGATTTCCTGGCTACCTACGTGGCTTTTTTCTGAAATCCACCCTCCCAGTTCCTCAGCCCCGCCCCAGCAGCACCCCCTTTGAGAGAACTGCAGAGGTGAAAGGTTGGCACCATGGATTCATGAGGTGTTCATGCTCTCCTGCATCCCCCAGATGATTTGGACAATGTGATTAGAAAATAACCTTCAACGTCTGGGTCATATTTACCCAACATATGATGCATGTTTTGGAACTGACTGAGTCCAGAGAGGATCACAAACACAAATGAAGAAATGTCATTTCTGACATTGTGTTTATTATATCAAAGCATTCATGCCATTTTAAGCAGCTCACACAGAAGGAACACAGTTGTATCTTTCATCTGTTAACACAGTTAGAAACCGGTATGTGGATTACCTCTCAGCGCAGAGGCAGCTGCTAGAGATTGGTAAGTAATTGATGCTGGTGGCAGGAGGCATTCCCGCTTCTCTGATGTTCCTCCGACCAGAGATGCAAGAGTGGTCTCCCTCGACTCAGCTGTCTGTGTCAAAACAATTAAAGTGCACTTTTCCCCTAGAATTACCTAATTTTTTCCAGAGTTACCAGACAAGGAAGGCAGGTTGGAGACGGTTATGCAGTAAAAGTCATCTTTTTTCTCTTACCCTGCTTCTAGCCGAGGTGAGAGTCCACGTACTCAGATAGTCTAAAGTCGTTCTTCCCTTTTGTTTAGGAGCGGGGAAGGGATGGGGATGTACCAAGTTGAGACTTTTGCTTTGGATGGAACATCTAGCTGAAGAATAAAGGACGCAATAGTAGCTTTCTATGGCTGTGGAAACAAATGACCGTGAACAGTTTAAAACAGCACAGACTGGTGATGCCATCATAAAGGAGGCCAGGTGTCCGGCCAGGTGCAAATCCAGAAGCTGTCAGGGCTGCCTGCCTTAGTGGCAGTCACAGGAGAGTCTGTTCATTGCTTTTGGGGTTTTTGGTAGAATTTCATTCCAGGGGATTACAGGACTGAGTTCCATTTTCTTGTTGGCTGTCAGTGGAGGGCCATTTCTGGCTCCTTGAGGCACCCCATTTTCCAGCTCAGGGTGCCTTCCTCCACTTCCACACCAGCAGGGATGCCTGCAGTCCTCACTTCATATGCCCTGGCCCCTCTTCTCCCATGCTCCCCCACTCTTCAGGACTCACGTGTTTCCACTGGGCTCTTTGGAAGGACTCAGGGTCATCTCCCCATCTTGAGGTCCTTCGCCTGTTGCACCTGCCGAGTCTTCTGTGCCCTGTAGGGTCCCACAGTCACAAGTTCCAGGGATTAGGGTGTGGACATCTTTGGGGGCCACTGTTCTGTCTCCCAAATGGACAGGATGGGATGAGGCATCCTTAGAGATTGGAGTCCAGTTAGAGGCTGCCGTGGCGGCCCCGGCAAGAGACAGTAAAGAGGCCTTTGTGCGGGACACAGTCTTCAGGGCTGTGTGAGTGTGGGGCAGGGGAGCCCGCGCCCGGGATTAGAATGAGGTGCCCTGGGCCCTTCTCTCACTCCTCTCTCCTTTATGCCTTGGGGACACTCCCAGAAGAAGAGATGCAAGGCCCAGCAAACTACGTTAAATAGACTGCAGGGCTTTGATGACATCTAGTTGTTGGCAACCAATACTGAGTTTCCTCTTTGAGGGGTAGGTTGAGGCCAGTGAAGGGACAGGAAGGGAAGGGGGTAAAGGGAGTTTGGGGTCCTGCTGTCCATTTTGAAAGCACATAGTATGCCAAATGGAAAGCTAAGCAGTTTTCTATGAAAATACATGAATAAATGAGCAGGTACGCATATACATACACACACGCACACTCACGCACACATGCACACACACGCACACACAGGCATACATGCTTACACGCACAGTTCCACACACACTCAAATACACACACACACGCACATTCATACACACACATGCACACACACGCCCATACACGCACACACGCACATGCACACACACTCCCACTCACACATGCACACTCACATGCACACACATGCTCACACATGCGCATATATGCACTCACGCACAGACATGCACTCACACATGCACACTCACACACGCACACACACGGGCACACACTTGCATGCTTACATGGAAACGTTCACATATGTGCGCACACATGCTCACATGCAGTCACACACATGCGCACACATGCTCATACAGGCACACATGCACACATGCTCACATACATGCACATGCTCACATACACACATGCACACGTGTTCACATACACAGTCACATGCAAACACACACATGCACACGCACATGCACATTAAGGCTTTGGTGGAAAGAGTAGCCCTCTAATAACTTGTTTTTTAATAGCTGGAGTTCCACATGAAAGAGAAGAGAGAGGACCTCCAGATTAGCTGGTCCTTCATCAGTGCGCCGGAAATGGCCGTTAATATCCAGCCCAAAGCACTGGGGGAGGTCAGTCCGTAAGTTTTTGTGATTCTTCCATTGGCGTGAGAACACACGTGTGTCAGGACAGCCTGTGGCGGGGAACTGAGTGCATGGCTGGTGTTGGTGGCCCCCTTCCCTATCCCCAGCCACCCCTTCTGGGGCTGGCTTGGGTCTGTCTGGATGTGGATGGTCCCTTTGGCTTGGCAGGGCCTGCGGGGGATGGCCTTGATGGATTGAATGCAGGGCTCCCACCTGAGCTGCACCTGGAGTCACCTGGCCACTTAAAAAAACCCTGAAGCCTTCCTCAGATATGGGTTTGCTTGGCTGGATGATTTTAGCATATGCAGCCAAGGATAATGACAGTGTAGGTACCCGCTCCATGCTCTGCCGTATCTGGCGATAAGGCGCTCTTTCCCGTGGTGAGGGCGCTGCACTCGTAACTTGAGCTGAGTCCGAAGGCTGCTTCCAAGGGCAGGGCCTCTTCTTTCCACAGTTTTTGCAAGGACAAAGCTAAAATCTGAAGGTAATTTCCTTCCTTCCTGCTTTGCATGGTTTTAGTCACCCGAAGACATGAGGTTGGGAGCAGGGAATGGGCTTGCAAAGTCGATTTGTCAACTTTCTCCTCTTTCACTAGGACCCGGTGGCTGAGACAAGTGTGATGTCTGACACTCTCAAGGACATCTTGAAGCATTTGGTTGGTTCTGCCTCTCCATCAGTGGTTCTGATCATCAAGCCCACGAATGTAAAGGAAGCTCAGGTAAACCCATCTGGGTGCTGTGGCTGCATCTGAACCCCGTCAGGCACCATGGCCCGCCTCTCTTGGAGAATCTGTGTGCATTTCCAGCATTCCTCCACCTCCCATGGTAGAGCCAAGATGGCTCAGGTGCTTGCTGGAGATAATGATGGTGGGTGTGGGATAAAGCCTTGGGTTCGGAGCAGGGGGCTGCAAAGCTCCATGAAGTGGAAGGAGAATCACTTGCACCCAGGAGGCGGAGGTTGCAGTGAGCTGAGATCGCACCACTGCACTCCAGCCTGGACAACGGAGCAAGACTTCACCTCAAAAAAACAAAACAAAACAAAACCAAAAAAAAAACCCTGACATTTCCCTGTCCATTCAGAGCCCTAGACCTCATCCTTCCAGGATCAAGGTACCTGGGAAAGCAGCCAGTGTTGAGAACATTGCCCCAGAAGCAAGCAGAGCCAGGTGGGTGGGACAGACAGAGATAGTTTAGCCTAGGCCGGCCTGCTGCCCTGGTCCTGCCTGCAACAGCTCCTGCCTCTTGGAGGTCTGTGTCCTTTGGGGGTGCACGATAAAGGAGGCTAGTCTCATCTGTGTGACCCCCTTTTCCGTATCACCTGCCTCCCCCCTCATGCTAGAGCCCCCTGTACCATCTGATTAGGGTGCTACTCACTTTTCTGGTTAAATTCTTATCCAGAGCATTTGCCCTGGTCAACTTCATGGGCCTAAATAACACATCAATAATCCTTTGTTTAAGGTG